GGTGTTAGGGGGCACTGTGGGGCAGGGAGCGGGGTGGGGGCTCAGCAGGAGGCGCTCTCTCCTGGCAGGCAGGACTGGTCCGAGTCTTGCACAGGGTCTGTCTAGGGGGTGCCATGGCACAGGGGATGGGGGAGGCTTTCCTGGAGCGGGGTGGGGGCTCACCAGGAGGCGCTCTCTCCTGGCAGGCAGGACTGGTCCGAGTCTTGCACAGGGTCTGTCTAGGGGGTGCCATGGCACAGGGGATGGGGTAGGCTTACCTTGATGCTGTCCATGGGAGGTGCGATGTCACCGAGCAGGTGGGCCAGAAGCGCCTCGCTGCGATGGGAGGGGCCCTGCAGCACCCCCGCACCAGCCCCGCCCACCTGCACCCACAACTCCAGCACCTGGTACAGCCGGGTGCGCACGGCGCTGCAGAGGGGGCAGGAGGTCAGGGCCTACGTCCCCTCAAAGCCACATGGCCACCAAGTAAATCCCATGCAGGGGCTCAGGGCTGCAGCAGGGAGAGATGCCTGTCCTCAAACCCCAGAGCCAGTGCGGTCAGGGGACCAGCACCCATTCCCTGGTTCCCACCCACCCCAGCTATGCCCACTCACCTGGCCCTAAGCTGCTGGGAACAGCCCTCTCCCCCCAATGCAGTCTGCATCCCAAACCCTTCATCCTCAGGCCCACCCCAGGGCCTGCATCCCCAGCCAGAGCCCTCACCCTGCACCTCCCAAAACCTCTTCCCCAGCCCTAAGCCCTCACTGGCCCTGTACTCCAGCCCACTGCCCCAGCTCTGAGTCCCTTCTTCACCCCAACCCCCACCTCACCCTGCTTGTTTGCACAATGACTTCTTGTGCCACACAACACCCCTAGTGCTGTGCATAATACGTCAGTCCACCTGGGTATGTCTACACTACCACCCTAGTTCGAACTAGGGTGGTAACGTAGGCAACCGGAGTTGCAAATGAAGCCCGGGATTTGAATTTCCCGGGCTTCATTTGCATCTTGCCGGACGCCGCCATTTTTAAATGTCCGCTAGTGCAGACTCCGTGCCGTGCAGCTACACGCGGCACGGACTAGGTAGTTCGGACTAGGCTTCCTATTCCGAACTACCGTTACTCCTCGTGAAGCCTAGTCCGAACTACCTAGTCCGTGCCGCGTGTAGCCGCGTGGCACAGAGTCCGCACTAGCGGACAATTAAAAATGGCGGCGCCCGGCTTTATGCAAATGAAGCCCGGGAAATTCAAATCCCGGGCTTCATTTGCAACTCCGGTTGCCTACATTACCACCCTAGTTTGAACTAGGGTGGAAGTGTAGACATACCTCATGTGACATAGAGGGAACCCTGGTCTGGGGAGTGGGCCCCGCTCCCAGCCCAGGACTAACCTGTAGGGCTTCTCCTGGCCCAGTGGTACCGCCTCCCTGCAACCGCTCCACGTGCCCAGCACTTGGGGGAAGAGCCGGCCCAGAACACTGCCCCAGCGCGCCAGCCGTGCCCCACACCTGAGAGGAAGGGGTCAGTACAGTGAGCTAGGGAACGCCCCTACCCTCACAGCCCATCAGCCACCCACTACACCAGGGGGAGGGGTCCTCATGGCGCCAGGCAGGTACCCCCACAGACTCACGCCAAGATCAGGGCTGCCAGCACATCTAGGACCTCCAGGTGGACAGAAGGCAACAGCAACATTTTCAGGGGGCCGTCGCCAAACCAGCTCTGGGGAGGGAAGCAGAGGGGCATCAGCCAGAATCCAGCCCCTCATGGTGCTCAGGGAGCTCAAGCATATGCCCTCCTGCAGGGAAGTCAGCAAGTAGCCTGAGGAGAAGGGGACAACCCCAGCCCCACACTCCAGTCCTGGGGGGGCGCCACACTGCTCTATGAGATCCTGACAGAGGGCCCCAAAGCACCACTGCTTACAGGGCCAAGCACCCACACTGGAGAGTCCTTCTAACACTGAGAGGATCCCCGGGATCCCCGCCCCACAGAGGTTGTCCTCCCAGCCACACACCCCCTCTCCCACTCACCATGTTCTTGACGGAGATGTTCAGAGCCCGGCACACAAGATCCAGAACATCTTGGACCGGAACTGTCACGGGGGCCACAAATTCACAGCTGAAATGGGACACAACAGGGGAGGGGTTAGCTGGGGGCCTCCCCCCTTTGAGTCAGTACAGACCCCCCTGCTACAGCACTAGGGAGCGCCCTCCTGTAGGGAATCCAGCTGGGGGCAGTGACCACGTGACAAGTTCTTTAAGATTGTCTCTGACTACTGTGTACGTGCCTCAGTGTCCCATGTGTTACTCGAGTCTCGAGGTGGGGGATGGGCGCAGAGACGAGGCAGGTGTGGCTGCGAGGGGCGAACTGCACACAGAGACCAGCCGGGCCCGTCCCATGCATGGACCCAGCTGGAGCTGCTGGAGATCAGAGCCCAGGAGACCAGTTTGCCTGGGAGAGAGAGACAGTTTGGGGGAGGTGTGCTAGGGGTAACTGCAGTTAGTCCCAATCCAGTTCCAGCAGCCTAAGAGGGAGTCAGAACTGGCCCCAGTACGACACCGGGGCAGGGCGGAGCAGGGCTCGCTTTCCCTGGCAGCCAGGGCTGGCTGCAGAGGGATACTAGGGTCAGAGGTTCAGCGGGGGGCGCTCTTGCTACCACTGGGGAGCTGACAGGCCCCAGTGCCCATTGGCATGAGGCTCTGTAAAGCTGAGCCAGCCTGACCCCTTGATGCCCTGAATCTAAGGGGGATCCTGGGAGGTATCACCTATCCCCCAGTACAAGCACAGGGGCAGATGGGGAGCGAGTACAGTCACACCTGCCCACTGGGGTTACATTCCTAACATGCCATGCATCGACTGCACTTTCCCAGAGCCCCGTGAGGCTCTGGAGGGCAGCCAAGCCCCACTCAGCCAACCAACTAAGGGTTTTGCTGACGTTCAGGGAGGGATGCAAGAGCTGCATGCTTATCTTGGCGACTCCGAGCCCCAGGATCACTAATCCTCACCAGCCAGGGAGCGGGAATGTGGAGTCTAATGATTCAGGGAACCCCAGAAGCATCCTATCCCAGAGCCGTGCACCACAGGAGGGCTGAGACCACTGTGCTGTTGGGGGCCAACTGGGGGGCCAGGTGAGTACCTGAGCATAAGTTGCAGGCACTTAGCCAGGCCAGAGAAGCGGTTGCAGAGGTTCAGGACGAAACTGGTCTCCCCATCGGGTGGTGCCGGCGGCAGCAGCAACTCCAGCCCTGGGCCCTCGTAGGGCAGGGGCTCTGGGGGGGGGCCGCAACTGT